GGACTCCCAGAGGCCACAGGGCTGACTGCAGGACTCCCCTCAAGTGCATGAATTTTGTGCACTGAGCCTCTAGTAATCTATATATATAAAAGCCCAATATGCAAAATATCCCCTCAGGAGTTCGACTGAGAGACTGGGAGTTCAATTGCTCACTATGAGGTGTGCTGACCACCAGGGGGCGGTGCGGAACAAAGGAAGGCCCTGGCAGGCAGCAGGCAAAGGAAGGCCCCAATCGGCCGATAGCCGGCCAGGCCTAGGAACCCTACCTGTGCACAAATTTCGTGCACCAGGCCTCTAGTATTATTATAACTGTTTATGGTGTCAGATGGGAATGAGATTAATTGCATGATTTCTTAGTCCATTATATAATGTCTAATCATTGGGGTGTACCCCTGAAAGGAACCTAAGTTTCTATGTTAAATGTCATTGAAAAAATGTTTTTAAAATTCCATAGGACTATGTTGCCTTCATAGAGTCATATTTTACATTAAGTACGTCTTGTACAGGTTGTACAAGAAGAGAGATTTAAAACTAAAAAGAAAGAAGAGTTGATATTTATAAATTTGCAAAATCAACCAAAGGCAACCACAAACACAACCGTAAAAGCCATAAATATAAAAGCCGAGGTAAAATGCATTTGGAGACCCCATCCCCTGTCTTTCGATGCCAGGACCGAAGTAGCGAGAGGCTCTGAGAAGCTGTGGCTGTTGCTCCTTGGACCACGGAGGAGTCATGGCCGAGCTCCCTTTGGAGGAGCACCTCAACTCCCACCCTATGTCCCTGAGGCGTGGGCACTCCGTGTATGAGGACGAGAACGAGCGGACGTGGCTGCCCCTTCTCTTTGACATAGGAGGTGTCCTGCAAGTATGCTTGTGCCAGAAAGACATCCCCAGTGGGGACATCTTACTCACAACCAACCCGCTGACCTCGAGCACCCTGCCTTGGATGTGGACGCTCCACCCTGAAGGCCATTACCTGGACCCCATGTTCCGATTCTGGCGCATTGTGCACCATGTCAAGAAAAATGGCATGGAGGAATTGATCCTTGAGCTGATTGACGACTTGTCGGATATGTGATGGTGTCCCTGGCTCTTGTAACCTGAGCCACAGTCCTGCTGGACCCCCGGTGGGATGTGTATAGTTCTGTTCACCTTTTTCTAAGCTCTGTTATTCTATCTGCCACCCCCTGGGTGCAAGGGCTTATTGATGTTTCTCTCTCTCTCTCCCTCTCTCTCTCTCTCTCTCTGTCTTTCTTCTTGTTCTTCTTCTTCTTGTTCTTGTTCTTCTTCTTGTTGTTCTTGTTTTTCTTCTCCTTCTCCTTCTCCGCCTTCTTCTTCTTCTTCTTCTTCTTCTTCTTCTTCTTCTTCTTCTTCTTCTTCTTCTTCTTCTTCTTCTTCTTCTTCTTCTTCTTCTTCTTCTTCTTCTTCTTCTTCTTCTTCTTCTTCTTCTTCTTCTTCTCCTTTCTCTCTCTCTCTGTCTCTTTGTCTCTCTGACTCTCTCTGTCTCCCTCTCCCTCAAATCAATGAAAGCGTTTTGAGCCAAGCTTGTGTTTCTCAGTGGTTGAGGGATGACCTATGCGCCTGGAGATCACGGTTTGACTCCTGATCAGGGCACAGAAAAGAATTAACCAATGAGCCCTAGCTTTTTTGGCTCAGTGGATAGAGAGTTGGACTATGGACTCTGGAAGGTCCCAGGTTCAATTCTGGTCAAGGACACATGCTGTGGTTGTGGGCTTGATCCCCAGTAGTGGCGTGCAGGAGGCACCGGATGTATGATTCTTTCTCATCATTGATGTTTCACGCTCCCTTCCTGCATGAAATCAATCCTATATAATAAAAGCCTAATTTGCAAAGTGTCCAGTCGGCCAGTCATCTGGCCAACCAATCAAAGCATAATATGCAAATGATATACCAATATTGCTCAACTGCTCGCTATGACATGCATTGACCACCAGAGACAAGACTTTCAGACTGGTAGGTCAGCTTGCTGCTGGGGTCTGGCTGATCGGGACTGAGTGAGATATGCTGGACACACCCTGGAGCCCTCCCGTGGTCCCTCCCCAGCTGGCCAAACCCCCGTGTCCCTCCCCAGACCTAATGGGTCACCGGTGGGGTGCCTTGGCCTGGCCTGTGCCCTCTCATAAACTGGGACCACTAGGGGGCTGTTAGAGAGCCAGTTTCCGCCTATCCCTGTATGCCAGGCAGAGGCACCACATGGGTGCACGAATTCCCCCAAA